TTTTTTTTTTTTTTTTTGAGTGTTCTTTTCAGCTAAACCTTTGTGTTGGCATACATTAGAAACACTATTCCCCTACCTTTATTGTATTCAGTTTCCATTGTTCTGAGAACAATTGTGACACTGTACCTCCATGCAGACTTCGACAGTGGTCCTCTCAGGTTCTTACAATTATTTTATATAGTGTCATAAAACAACCATCATACAATATTCTACATATCAGCATGTCTCTTTGTTTGCATGTCAGTTTCCTGAAGCCAGTATGAGCAATAGGTACAGAATCAGGTGCTCCATATTTATGTAAACTGCTAAATGACTTATTCCTGAATGCTGTCAGATAATCTGCAGTATAACACACAAACATATTATAAAAGTAACTGCAGATATATGATCCATGAATTTCTCACCTTGTATTTTCTTTGTGTCCTCACTTTCCATGCTTGTCTGTATTCTTATTCCTTTTTATTTCATCTGTAAGATAAAGGTATTTCTCATTTTAAATTGGATTTTAAAAATGCCAGAAATACAAATGTAAAGGAGATAGGGAAAGAATAGTTTTCTTAAAACCAGAAGAGAAGGAATTGAATCTGTAACTTATTAATATGTGATAGTTGATATGTCTAAATTCTCTGAGATTTAGTTTCCTTCTCTGTAAAATAGGATTGACATTCCTACCTCATAGAGTTGTTTCAAACATATATAAACACATTTTTAAGACGTACTTTAGGCATTCAACAAATTTTAGTAAACAAACGAATGACTGACTAAATCAAACTGGTCCTCTTTTGGTCCCCCTTCCTTATTTTAACTATAAATCTTTATTCCATAGTTTCAGATTGGACACCACAACATAAATCAAGTTTAAAACACAGACACAAACATATACTCTTTAAATTTTCATTTCTCTTTACAAACTAAGCTTAATACTAAATTTTTCTAGAATCCATGATTATTGCTGGCATGGTATTCTACTACTAAGCTTAAATTTTTGAATACATCATTTGTTAGAAAAATTTCTGTACACATCGCTTGTCAGAAAAATGAGGAAACACTGATATGGTTTTTCACATACCTACTTAAGAATGTTAAATTGATTATTTATAAAGTTATCAAAGTTCAAATATTTTCTTAGAGCAACAAATTAGGATTGTAGAACTCTAAACTTTTCTATTTCAACATGAAAATAAAATCCCTAAGAAGCTTAAAGAAATAAAAGAAGATTTTTATAAGTTAATATATGAATATATATTTATTTTGCCATTTTAACATAATATTGCATTAAAAAGGAAATGACAAGGTACATTATGGTACATCCACAAGATAGAATATTGTTACAAGAATACTGACCTTGAGTAGAAATGTTTAACAGCAACCAAACATACTTATGTTATATAAAGTTAACCATAAAGAATGAACAAGATTCAAAATTTTATCTATAGTATGGTACCAACTAGAGGCAAATATAAAACTGGATGGAAAGACAGCAACATTATTAACAGTTATCTTTAGGAGGTGATTCCATGGCTGTTTTATCCTAGTATTTATTTTTTGTAATTTTTAGAATAATAATGACTTATTCAGTAAGTACCTACTGTAGGTCGGACTTTGTCCTTTACACTTTACAAATCCTACTTTTTTGGTTGTCACAATAACTTTATGAGGAAGCTATATGAACAAAGATTAATGAGAAAAGGGTAAATTATTTGCCCAAGTTCAAATAGCTGAGTTGGAATGGAAACCAAGAACATTCAAGGCTGACAAGAGGAAAATTTTCTCCTCCATTATGCATCTCTCATATATATATAGTATAAATACATATTATCTTTGGGCAAATGAGTTGATCTGGAAAAAGAAAACTAGTTTTTTTTTTTTTTAAATGAGGGGTTAAAGGTTTACAACTCACTGGCAGAGTACCTGCCTAGCATCCACAAGGCCCTACTTTGATACCTAGCACCACAAATCAAATCAAATAAAGTTGCACTGCACAATTTAAATGTGGCCTAGATCTTAGTTCAGCACTAGAGATTCATGAAGCTTAGTGGTACATTTGACAGGCTATGGGTTTGATTCTTAGAACAGGGGAAAAAAAGTCCAACTGTCAAAAAATGGACTGTTATATCATATGAAGATGTTTTTGTTTTGTGGGGAAGCTTAAAGATTATTTCCTTAATCAGTCAGTCTTCTACTTTTAATATAATTTTAATCTTATTTATATTTTGTTTTTTTGAGACAGATTCTTATTGTGTAGTTCATGCTGGCCCTGAACTCACTATGTAGCCCAGACTGGTCTAGAACTTGTGACAATCCTTCTGCCTCAGCCTCCCCAGTGCTGGGATTACAGGTATGCACCACCATGCCTGGCTCTTATTTTATTTTTAACAAGGTCTACTGTACAAATTTTCTTGTCTTTTCACTTCTTTTTGCAGCGCTGGAGATCAAATCCAGGGCCTTGCACCTACTAGGCAAACACTTCACCACTGAACTTTTCCTCCAGCTCCTGTGTAACTTTAAAATCTAAATGTCACTGAAAAGAAAAAAAAAAAAAAAAAAAAAAAAAAAAAAGAACTTTTTCTCCAGCTCCTGTTTAACTTTAAAATCTAAATGTCACTGAAAAAAAAAAAAAAAAAAAAAGAATAACACTAACATGTCTGAAAGTCTGGAAATTGAAACTGACAACATACAGTACACTACCTTCTTTTTATATTCTTTTCTAAGAAATGGTTACTCTGCACAGTAAAATAAGAGTTTGCCAAGTATCTAGTAGCAGTAATAAGAGTTATCTATCTACGAGCCAAGTGCAAAGGGATTGTAATTATAAAATTCTATTTAAAATTATAAAACATGTATAGTCTATTCCCAAGTACAAAAACAGCTGCCAAATGAAGCAGATTATGAAGTGTTCTCAGTAATTTAATGAATGGCTGCAAATTGTTACCAACAATGAGACTTTAAAATCTTTTATAGTTTTCAATGTAACAGTTATCCTAAAGGTTTCACTCAATCTACTCTCCAGAATAGGACTATTAATTCACATTCAAATTTCAATAAGAAAACTAGTTGAACATCATTCCCCTAGCCCTTTGATGCTAGGGATGGGACAAAGAACCTCACTCATGGAATGAGTATGCTCTACCACTAAGCCATACCCTCAGCCACTAAATTTTATTCATTTACCCAACCTAGAGAATGTATCAAAGCCTTCTTTCCGTGTAAGATTGGCAGGGGAAAAAATAATTTCACCCCTTATTGCCATCACTAATTTAACAATGGATAACCAGCTTAGAATCACACATCACAGAAAAATGCCCTTTGAAGGAGAGGCAAGGTGGACAAAAGGGTTTGCAGTTTACAATACTGTATAAATGTTCTGCTACAATAGTTTAAGTGGATTGTGAAGTAACAGTTTTTCGAGTCCCACAGAATCCGCTGAGGGTACCAAGAGTCAACTAGCTCTACAATATTAACAGCAGATGAGAGCACAACGCCTCTTTGCCTCACCCAGGTTCCACAGATAACTCCCATCTCCCCAAAATCAGGCTAACTCCACCCTGCTCCCAAGATTTCTGCTCACTGACACCAGCGCTTGAGTACCCTTCAGAGCTGAAGACCTCCTTCGGAAGAGCACAGACAGTCTCAGGCTCCTGTTAAGAGGAGAGTCTGGCCCCCGTGTTCGGCGAAGGACAGGCGGCCCCTTGCTTAGCTAGTGAAATGACCTCACCTATGGGCCCCATTCCTTCCTTACAACGGATTCACTTGGGTAGGAACCGGAGGACTGTGGCAGTGCACAGATGTAGACACAAGACTAAATGGTACCTGTCAATGACCTTTTCCAGGCTGTGGAGGCTGCTCCAGGGTCTGGTGCCTGCTCAGGATGACCGCTCTGTATCCTCAGATCAACCTGTTCCCTCAAGTGGAACACTGGTGAGTGGGACCTGTGGGGTGTAACCACATCCGAGCTGCTGTGAGGGGATCTTGGGCGGCCTGCGCAGCCTGCCTTCCACAGGAACAGGCTCTGCTAAAGCAAGGCTGGAAGCGCGCGTGTGAAGGCCTGGGCCTTTACTCTGTTCCTTTATTTTTAAATTCAGGGGATCGAACTCAGGACCTTGCACTTGCAAAGCAGGCGGCGGAACCACTAAGCTAAATCCCCCTTTTCACTCTGAAGGCGAAGTGCTCGAGTGGCTGCCATTTTTCCCTTGCTGCACACCTACCTCGATGCCTGACAGGTTTCCCGCTTTATGGGCCTGGCCTACTTCCGTTGGGCGGGACTTCCGGGCGGAACTCCGGCAGTCCCTGCAAATCGCTGGTTTCAGAAATTCCCTGGGGGTAGCCAGCCAGTGGGCAGGTGCAGAGGTTTTTAACGGAGGAAAGTCACAATTTGAAGGGGATATCCTTTCATCTCACTGCCCCTGGTTTTAAGGTCTTCCTTTCCTCAGAAAGGTGTTAGCCCCAAAGGAAATAAGGCACCCTGGCTGACAAAACTCGGATCGAGTTCAGTGGCGGTGGGAACCTGTGCGGCGCATGCGTAGAGTGACAGGCCGGCCCCTGCCCAATTCTCACTCCTAACCTTCTTGGTACACCAGGCCGTCTTGTTTTGCGCTGGGCAATCCATTGAGGGGCAACCTTGCCACTTGCCACACTTGCCCCAGGTTATATCACAGGCAGCTTCAGTTAAAGCAACCGCAATTTTGTCGAGACCCAAAGACCAGGGTTCCTGGCTCTCACGGGGTCAAGGACTACCCTTGTTAAATAAAGCCTCTTGCTTGCTCTAATAAAATCCACCCCATGGGAGTGGTGGGAGATGGAAGTGAATTAGGAGACGATGCCTGCTGTGGGAAAGATCAGTTGATACAGTTTGGGCCCAAGAAAACCACATCTCTGTGAAGCACCCCATGGCAAATTTAGCGCTGCTTCTGACTTTGGAGGCACTGGCCTTTGGAGACTGACCTGCTGCCCCTTAGGGTCTTTAAGGTCTTGAGTCATTCCTCAGCCATATGTAAGTCAGAAACTGAGCCCTGCCTTCCCCTTCTGGATTTTCTGCTTGCAACCAAATCGTTCTACTTGATTAACAATCCAATGTCATTAATCTTCGCAATGAAGATTAACACAATATAGATGGAACAAACCTATAAAATTTCAATTAGTTGGTAGCAAAACCTAAATTTGTTAAAATGCCACTACATAAAGGGGATGGTTTTGTTTTCTGATAAAACTACATGTTCTTAGCTGGGTGTGGTGGCTCACACCTGTAATCCCAGCACTGAGGCTGAGGCAGGAGGATTGCTTTGAGTTTAAAACCAGCCTGGGCTACATAGTGAGTTCCAGGTCAGTCTCAACTACATAGTGAGACCCTGTCTCAAAAAAACAAAAAACAAAAAAACAAACAAACAAAAAAAACCCAAAACAAAAAACACCGACATGTTCTGTAATGTTTCCTATTATATCGCATTCATTTTTAACAAATAATGATGGTCCTAAAGTGTCCATAGCTAAAATCCACATGTAGCTAAAATTCATTACTTAAGATGGTAGTGAAAGAATATTTTAGGAAAAAAAACAAAACAAAAAAACAAACAAACAAAAAAAACCCAAAACAAAAAACACCGACATGTTCTGTAATGTTTCCTATTATATCGCATTCATTTTTAACAAATAATGATGGTCCTAAAGTGTCCATAGCTAAAATCCACATGTAGCTAAAATTCATTACTTAAGATGGTAGTGAAAGAATATTTTAGGCTATTTCTAATGAAATAAAGATAACCTATGACAAGTAACTGAAATAACAAGCCAGTAACAACTCAATGAAAAATGGGTAACATTTTCTGGGAAAATGAATGTTTCTTTCCCCCTCCCTTCCAAATAACACTACATTATTACAAATGAGAAAAATGTTTATTGAGCAAACAATTGAACAGCTGTCCTTCACGAGAATTTTACAAATTAGATTGGACAGTAATTTTACTGAAAACAATTATAATTTCAGTCACTAACACAGTACAATGGGTGCTTAACCTACAACTGGTAAGTTGCCGAAGTTTGTGACATGCCACTATAAATGTAGGTATTATTAAAAATTACAAATTGTTTGGTGACTATTTTAATAATCTCTTGAGCAGCAGCTCCTGCAAAGAAAAAGAAAAGCAAATCTTTGAAAGAAGAAAATGTCTAGTTAAAATAAAATTACTCAATTTTGTAAAGAAACCTTTCCATATGCAATGTTTAAAAGCAACCCAAAACAGGCATAGCTTACTGTCATATCAAAATAAAAAACTATAATTCTTTATAATTGTGGTATTAAAGGAAATCAAAGTTTGTTAGTAACAATTGGCTATTACACCACAAATTAAAAGAATGGAGCATTTTTAATTGTGGTGTAAAAACACTGGCAAGATACAGTAAGTGAACAAAACAAAGTTTAAACAGTAGTAGTTTGGTTGATGGAACTTTTAAAAAGAATATGGAGAGGCATAAAAGATTCAACAGAAGAACACCCTTATGTTGAATTTGAATTTTACCTTGTGCCTATTTTACTTTTATAATATAAAAAGATAAAGGTATATTTATACATTTATATATTTGTATCTTCAAAAGGACCTATATTAAATACTGCTAACCTGCTTTAATTATTCAAAACAAAACACAAAAGAAATAAAGTTCTGCATCTTTTAAAACCTGAAGCTAAAAAACCAAAACCAAAACCAAAAACAAAAACCTGAAGCTGCTTCTTTCCCAAAGCATTCAATGGCATCATGAAACTTCAGACACAGGATACAGTAGGAAACAAAATACAAAAGAATCTGCTACTTGTTCTCATGAAACTTACTTTCTAGCAGTGAGAGAAAAATAATTTACAAATAATAAAATGAACGCCAGGAATGGTGATGTACACCTGTAATCTCAGCATTTGAGAGGCTAAAGCGGGAGGATCAGTGTGAGTTTGAGGCCAGCCTGGGCTACACAGTGATTTCAGGGCCAACCTGAACTACAACGGGAGACCCTGCCTCAAAAAACCAAAAGAAAAGTGTTGGGGGGGTTCCTCAGTGTTAAGAAGGAAAAGGAAGATGTGAGTCCAAGTAGAGGGCTCAGTTTTGGAATCAGGATGGCCTCACAGAGAGGTAACACTGCCTATCCCAAAGATCATGAGGGAATATAACAATACTGTTCAAAATGGTTATAAAAGAGACAGAAGTAAAAACTTCAATTTAAACTTTTTTCCACTATAGGAAGTAATCTACCCTCTCTGGTTGTGTCTCTTCTTTGATAATTTGCCTTTTTCTATGAACTAGCAGATTTTCTATTTAGACATAAAAGACTTTTTTTGTTTTTGTTTTTTTGGTACTGGGGATGGAACTTGGAACCTTGAGCTTGTGAGGCAGGTGATGGCACCATTGAGCTAAATCCCTGGCCCAAGTTTTAAAATAAGTTATCCAGAATTAGGTGTTAGTTTGGGTTTTCTTAGAATACAGTTTCCTTAGATCTGTATCATTCATTTGCATTTGGAACACTAAATATTAATCAGACCTGGGTCTACCTTCAAAACATTAATCATCTAGAAGGAAAATATCATAAGCAAATGTCTCAGTCGATAAGAGGTCACTGGCTGGAAAATAATTTTTTGTTTATATTGAAGGTATTACAGACTGAATGTGTCATCATTCTTTTTTTTTTTTTTTTTTTTCT